GAATCTTCAAGGAATCACTTCTCTACAGGTACAATCACTACTGATGAGTGGAGCATAGCAAACAAATGGGGTATTATAAATTACTTAGACTATATCAATGACATGGACAACGATTTGAATTTCCCGGAAAATATTAGTTTCACCATCTTGTAAGCAGTTTATCTGAATTTGGTTGTTTCTTAGCATGTTTGGAAAGTGTTTATAAATGGTTTAAATTATAAGTAGATAGAAAAGAGTGATAAATAAGTAAATAGTACTTATGGACTACTCGAAATGTGTGGATAAATAGAGTCGATTATTTATAACATGAGCAAAACACTGATTTATTGCACTAAAACTCTTGCCACACTATTTAAGATGTATCATCTCAAGCATGGACAATTTTACACACAGGAAGTTTTTACTGGAAACGGCCCATGAGGAAAAAACATGCCAAAATGCCCAAGAGGACATAACATGCTGATGCTGGTCTCAGATATAGAGGTATATAGTTTCTCGGGGTTGCATCTGAACTCCATAAGGAGAATGCGCTCGAGCATCTCATCCATTTTTCTGTCATATCGGGAAAGTGTCGATCGATGACATCTTTCAGAGTTTCTGTCTTGTTAACCCACTCTAAGCCTTTCTCTGTGTAGGTCCTTGAGTTAAAATTTGTTGTGAAGAAACGATCAGCCTCCAGCCTCCTGGTACATCATATTGTATTGTAAGGAAGACGAATATTGTTAAACTGTTATTTCTATACTGGATTTTGAATGTTAAAACTCTTATAAATTTGCTTCTTATCGAATCCAAAAATCAGAATATTCAATAAACCAATTTCGTATGGAATTATCCTGCTTAACGTGTAATAGGCATCATATATTACGACTAAATTTATCAGCTTACCTTGATGCAATAAGCAGAAATATAGAGAAAGCTGTTTCACTGATGGCAAAACCTTTTATTTTCTTCTCTGCATGTAAACCCACCTGGAGATCCAGCTTCTCAACATCATCTCCATAGATTTCGTGTAACGCTTCAATTACTTCTTCATCATCAGTTAAATCTTCCCACGTGCTAATTGGAATCATCAGCATATTCCTTCTGAACTCATTGTACCGTGCAACGTTCCTTTCTCTATCTCTATAAACTAATCAAACACCATATTAACTTTTACTTCTCCATTAGAAGCGAAAGGAAATACGCTGCACATAATATGTAGTAAACAGATTGAAACTCCTAGTAATTGAAAGATTTATTAGAGCTACTAAACATACTTTCTAAGGCAGCCATGTCAACTCGATCAGGTCTATCTTCTCCATCGACGTCATGAGCTACAAGGTTTCTCATCCATGATGGATAATTCCATAATGTGACGGCCCCACATGACTGATGGCCCATTGATATGAGCATCTGCTCCATGCCAATTTTGGTCAATCGCCTCTCTCCTTGTTTCCCAATCATTTCCCACATAGGCACCCTGATCAAAACCTCTGTATTAGAAATTATGCAAACATTCTAAATTAGTATATTTTTTATTTAGAATAAGTTCATAGATGTAGAGTTGATCAAAATAAACATGATTAAGCTGGCTCTAAGGAATTATTTTCATTAGACCTTTTAGCAGAAGCAGCTTTAGATATAGTCGAACTCAAGTTATTAGGATTAAGGCTTATGTTGTTATTATTGTTAATTTGAAATTTATTGTCTACCTAAAATCAAAAAGTACAAAGACGATACTTTCAAGTTCTGTCCAAAGAAGTTTGAAGGTTGAAGTTGTCTTTCAGTTTGAGATGAAGTAATGATGAAAGTGTAAAGTGTAAATGGTTATTTTGTTTACAAGATCACTGCAAAAGCATCAATAACTCAATGATCCCATGTACACTCACATAAAAACCATGACCTTTGGCATATCAAATCTTTTCAACTGTCACCTTGATAATAATCAATTCTGCATCACTAGTAAGCAATT